AACGAATTATATTCTGAGCTAACTTTTCATGAATTCGAAAAAGCATTCAAATCCCTTAAAAAAAACAAAGCAAGCGGAGCAGATGACATAAACGGTACTATAGTTATAGAATGTTTTGAACAATTAAAAGATATACTTTTTAAGGTTTAGGGAGCATCTATCCACCATAGAGTTTTTCCGGATCAATTAAAAATTGCTAAAATTACCCTAATTTTAAAAGAGGGAGATCGAACAAATATCAGTAATTATCGTTCTATCTTCGTCCTCTGCACATTCTCAAAAATACTAGAACGCATTATATATAATAGATTATACAATTATCTCCTTTCTAATAGTTTGTTATACGCCAACCAGTTTGGTTTTAAAAAAAATAATTCGACGGAACATGCAATTATCCAACTTGTACGTGAAACTTCAAATTCTTTTAAAAAATCTAAATTTACATCAGGTGTTTTTATCGACCTATCAAAGGCGTTCGATACTGTAGATCATGAAATTTTGATACAAAAACTGAAATACTATGGAATAAATTACAAAGTTATAAAATGGTTTCGAAGTTATTTATCTAACCGTAAACAATTTGTTTTTATTAGTAGTTGTTGTCCAAATGAGTTCCTAAATGTTTCATGTGGCGTTCCCCAAGGTTCCATTTTGGGACCACCGTTGTTCTTGATTTATATAAACGACCTAAATAAAACCTCAAATTTAATGAGTATAATGTTTGCTAATGACACCAACTTATTTCTTTCCAATAATGATATTTACAAACTCTTTTCTAGTATGAACGATGAACTTAAAAACATATCAAAATGGTTTAAATGCAATAAGCTAACTCTTAACAGTTACAAAACAAAATGGATTCTCTTCCATCCAATCGCAAAAAAACCTTATTTACCCAAAAATTTACCAGAAATCTTTATTGGTAATACTGTGATAAAAAGACACAATGTCACAAAGTTTTTGGGTGTTTTTCTTGACGAAAACATCACATGGAAAGCGCATATTGACTATATTAGCACAAAAATTTCTAAAAGCATTGGAATTTTATATAAATTCAGAACATATCTATGTAAAAAAGATTTAACCCAACTATACTACTCATTTATTTATACCTATTTAAGTTATGCAAATATTGCTTGGGGAAGCACAGAAAAAAGCAAGTTACAATGTCTTTACCGTCGTCAGAAGCATGCGTTCCGTTTAATTAATTTTGCGGATCGGTACACTCATTCCAAACCTTTTTTTTATTGAAATGAAAATTCTTAATATTTACGAACTTAATGTGTTAATGTTTTATGCTTTATGTATTTGTGGAAAAATGACTTATCCCTACCTATCTTTAAAGTTCTCTTTTGTGAAAAACCAATAAATAAATACACTCTTAGAAATAATAAATTTTTGCATAAACCTTTTTGTCGAACAAAGTTTAACCAGTATGGTATTGCTTATCGTGCGCCATATCTTTGGAATAAAGTTGTTTTGCCAAATTTTGATATATTTTACACTTTTCCAATTTTCAAACATAAACTCAATAATTTAATTTTATTTTCCGATGACATAATAAGGTTCTTCTATTTGTAATTATGTACCTTTATTTAGAACTTTTTAAATTGTAAAATACGTTTTATGTTAATTGTAAAATACGTTTTATGTAACGACTCTTTTTGTTTTATATACATTGTAAATAATTATGCTAAATGCTTGTAAAAAGTTCTGAAACCTTGTTTGTATTTGTTTAAGTATTGTATTACGACAAATGTAAACTTAAAATGTAAAAAAAAAAAAAAAAAAAAAAAAGAGCACAAAAGTTATATTTTGTTTGTTTCTTCTTTTTTTTTTGCGCTTAAAAGCAAATCCGTATCTTTCAATCGATTAGCTTCAATTACTATTTTGTTAGTGGCTTGATTGCCAACACGCAACTCTTGAAGTTAGGAAGAGCTATTCTTCCGATTTTATTATGTATACGCACTTATTTAAATGGCAAGTAACACCGAAATAAATTTTAGTAGATGGTACAAGATGGCAAGTAACACCGAAATAAATTTTAGTAGATGGTACAAGATGGCAAGTAACACCGAAATAAATTTTAGTAGATGGTACAAGATATGCTAGATCTTTTGAGCAGTGCCCATTAGAGTATTTATAGAAAAGAAAACGAGAAGCAACATTTCGAAGATGTGACAATGGTTGAAGGTTGGCTGCAAAAGCAGGTTCATTTATGTTTTCAATGCGTTTTCGCACCTTGATTGAAAGAGAAAGGGTATCATTCGAAGATCCGTACAGAATCTTCAAACAATATGACAACAGTTTTCCATACAAGGACAGATTTGAGAATTATAAAGATAAAGAATAGAATCCAGAGTGGCGAGCATAATAAAGAGAATTAATCTTAGCATGATATATCTCTTTATATCTAAAGCCTTTAGCAAAGTTTGGCATGCTATTCATCTCCATAAGTTTTCTTCATATGGTGTATCTCCATAAGTTTTCTTCATATGCTGTATCTGGGAAAGTTCTTGAGATTATCAAATTGTTTATTTCTTTATTAAAGTTATTCTTAAAGGGTAACACTTTTCTTTATTTCTAATGGGGTACTCTAAGGTTTTCCCCGTGGTCCTGTTTTGTTTTTATCTAAATTAATGATCTTCCAGACAACCTTATATCTAAAGTATCTCTTTTTGCTGATGATGCAACTTTATACTCCTGTCTTGACAAATAGTCTTCTCTTTTTAATCGCTTAAAACAGGAAACCGATCTTGAATCTGATCTCACTTCTTTAACAGATGGAACTCACATTGATTTTTAACTTTTAATTCCAACAACACTCAGTTATTTACTGCAAATAACTATTGCAATACTGTCAACATTCCTATATTAATGAACGGCAACAAGTTCTCTTCGTTACGTCTTCTTGGATTATCGTTTACTACTGACCTTTCATGGAAACCATATATAACATCGATTGCTAAATTACCATCCGCTAAAGTTGCTTCTCTTAATCGAGCTCGCCATTTTCTCTCTCCTGATTTAATTCTCTACCTCTACAAATCTTTTATTCGTCCTTGTATGGAATACTGTTGTCATATTTAGGCTGTTCAATGATGCTAGAAGAACCAGTCCAAATATGACAACAGTATTCTATATTGTCTCTTCTAGACATAGTCTAAAAACGCATTGTAAATGTAGTTGGACCGCACTATTGGCTAAGCTTGAGCCTCTTTCCCATTTTTGTAAAGTTGCATCTAATTTTCTTTTCTACAAATACTATCATGATCACTGTTTAAAGGAGCTATCATCTCAAGTTCCTTCAACTAAAACTCATTCTCGCTTAACTCGTCATTTAGCAAAGTCTTATTTATTTACTGTAATTACTGCAGCATGCTCTAAAAACTTTTATTCGTCCAGTTTTCTCTCTCGTAATTTCAATCTTTCAGAATTCTCTCCCATCTTTATGTTTACCTGACACATACAATTTATAACTTTTCAAGTCTTCTGTCAACCGTTTCCTTACTTTTTAACTCTACTCTTTTTTTTCTTCTAGCGAATTATATTGTGGTTGTGATTTATTTTCTACAGTGGAGAAAAGACACGTTTTGTACGTCTAGATAGTATAGCTTGCAAGCAAGATGAGGCTGATAGTATAGCTTGCAAACAAGATGAGGCTGATAGTTTAGTTGGTAATCATGAATAAGTTGCTAAAATCTTGCTCTATTTTCTTCATTTGTGACAGTAAAATAATTTTCTTTTTTAAAAACGGAGTCTATAACATGCCAGTGTGTGGGCATTTGCGCACTAATTTCAATTATTAATATAAATAATAATAGAGAAGAATCCAGAAAATCACGGCTGGACAGGAAAAAAATGGTCCCTGTTTGGAAAACTCTGCTTTTCGCTAAGATGTCTTTCATTTAATTTTATTCAGATTTTCGCTTATCATAAAAATGAATATGACTACTGTTTGATAATAATTTCTGTAGTAGAAATGATAATAACAGTAATAATAGTAATAATAATAATAGCAATAATAATAATAACAATCATAACTATTATAGGAACTATTATAGTGGAACCTAATTGATTCCAGTTTTTATCTTTGCAGTTTGTAAAAAAATGATAAAAAAAAGTAAAAAGTTTTATACTAACTTTCCTACATTATGTGAGGTTAATATAATTAATGGATGGTTTTTTTTAATAGGAAACCTTTATTATTAGCAATTTAGAAGAAATTTCTGTTGAAAAATGACAGATACCTCCATCTATTTGTCATTTGTTATTTATTGAGAGAGTATTTAGAAACAGTTTTCCACCAAGTTTTTACATTGTTTTTTATGTAAGTCCAAGTTTTACATTGTTTTTTATGTAAGTCCAAGTTTTTACATTGTTTTTTATGTAAGTCCAAGTTTTTACATTGTTTTTATGTAAGTCATATTTAGATTTGTATTTGTATACTCTAGGTATTTAGATTTGTATTTGTATAAATTTCATCTGATTAGCATCAATTTGGAACGCACAAATTAAATTTTTAATTAAAAAATAATTCTTGAAGAGTTAAACTCGAAGTTTTAGAAAATTTTTTTTTTCTGAAACTGAGAGTGAAAATCTTCAAGAATTATTTTTTAATAAACGCAACTTCCAATAAACGCAACCATTGATATCACAAAAAAGTATATTGCGGTAAATTTGAAAGATGAGTAAACATTTGCACATTAAAGATTAGGTCAGAGATAAAAATGTAACTTTCAAAATCCCTCTCCTAATTCCATATGCTTAATATTTATTTGTGCGTGTGAAGGAGGGGGAGGGGGGTGGTAATCAAAAATAAATAATTTATGAATCAGTGACTAGGTAAATTTTGAGGTAAAAATATTTCATAAATCCCAAAAAATTCTAATGACAGTTAAAACCGACTGAAACAATTATTTATAGTGAATGAAAAAAAGCAAAAGAAAAATTATCAGTTTTCACTTCAATAAATAAATACATGAACGGAAATCTAAAATAAAGACTCTCTTTTTTTTTTAATTATTTCTTTTTAAAAAAATGTTTTTGGCGCATTTTTATCATTTTTATTCTCAGTTTGTTTTTCATTGATATCTTTTTCTCTTTCTATTATTGCATTGTTAGCATTATTAATATCGTTCTGCATTGCACTCATAAGCATTTTTAAATGGTCCATGTTTCCTTTAACATTGACATTAGAAATCAAATCCCTTAATTGGACTTTTCCAATATCTAAGTCTCCTTTAATAATTTTTTCTAACTCACTTTCTTTAACGTTGTAAGGAAATGTAACATTTTGATCAATTTCCGAAGGGTCAGCAGGTTGCTGTTTAATAATATCATTGTTAAACTGGTCCAATTGCTTTTGAAAGTCATCCTGAAGTAGTTTTAAGTATTTTTCATTTTCTTGCATCTGGTCGTTTAAAGTCATTTGACTATTTGCTGAGTTTATAGGATTAGCAACATTTGGAATCCTAAACTCCATCTGTTTTTTTAAGGGTATTTGATCATCATATTCAATAGGATTGTTTCTCAAGTTTCTTTTTGTGTTAACGTTGTTATTACTCATTAAATCAGTTTCATCCTCGTTGACTACATCACCGTCTGAATCTTCAGCAAATCTACCGAGTAAGCTTTCAATATACTCTTCTTCCAATTCTTCTATTGGATTGGGGGACAGCCTACTAAGATCCATATCTCGTTTGTAGTTGTCAAGTTTGTTTGTGCTGAGAAAAAGATCATCTCTATTTTTATAAAAAGATTCTGGATTGATATATTCGTTGCATTCCGTTTTGCCGCATGTTGTCTTAATACTTACACCATAATTACTAACATTTTCCGTTAACTTACTTTTTTTATCCGGAACATCTATAATAATATTCATTTTTGTTCCTTTAATTGTTTTACCTGTAACTTCATCTTTTTTTGTCGGTGAATCGTAAATTATATCTATTTTATCTTCTCTAGGTAAAATATTGTATATATTTTTTGTGTGTGATTTTAAATTTTCCTTTTTGTTAACTGGCTGGAAAATATTGTGAAGATAAGTTTTCAGATCTGTCTCAGAATGCAATTTTTTTTCAATTTTATCTGACTTAAAATTTCTATTAACGGTTTTGTTATTTTTTACTATATTCTGATCTAAATTTTTTTTTATTTGCTTGGTGTTATATCGATATATTGATGTGTTAAACAACTTTTTAGCGCTATATCGATAAATTGACGTGTTAATTGAATTATTAATCAATTTTTTGTCAAAAGAAGTTTTTTTGACCTTATTGCTTATATTTCTGTTTTTAACAACATCTTTTTTTGGACTAGTAGAATATTTTTTTGAGAGTTGTTTGTAAAATGGCTGATAAGAGAAAATTTGATGATGATTTTTCAATACAACCTGAGTGTTATTTGCTCGCTTTTTCATAAAGAGATTATTAGGTAAATACAAAGGTGGCCTTCTTGTTACTACTTTTTTTGTTGGCTCACTTATAGAAGCTTGATCAAATACAGTATACTGTTTTTCTTCATCATCGGAATCTTCATCTGGTTCCTCGTCATCATCTTCATCAATAGACTCTTCTAAACCGTCTGAATCTAAATCTTGCTCATCGGTTTTGTTCTCTGGAAATGGTTGTAAATTAACAGATAGCGATGAAATCGTAGTTGTAGTCGGATATAAAATTTGGTTGTTTAAATTGTCATCTTGATTATCAACGTCTTCATTTGATTGAGCTGCACTATCCTTATCATTGTCATCATTTGGATTTGCAGTACTTGGAACAATAGGTTCTGTCGGATACTGAAATGTTGTTGTTGTAATAGAATTTCCATTTGTTGGTTCATTAGTTTGATCTATCGGTCTAGTCCATACGTTTGAAGGTTGTAAAGTAGTTTGTACGACTGGGTATGGAGCAGGTACTGGTACAGGTACTTTATATGGTACAGGAACCTTTACTGGAACTAAAACTTTAATCGGAACTTTTACTGGTATAACAACAGGTGCTTTTTCACGAAACCTTGATGGTTTATTTTCTCCAAAATAATGGTTTTGATAATGAGATTGCATATCTCGAATCAAAGAAAGTAATGGTTTACTAAATAAAAATCCGTCATTTAAATTTTGAAGATCAAATGAGTTATCGATAATTGCAAATCCTCGAAAGCTTGGATTCGTTTTTAAAGACTAAAAAAAAAAATAGGTTTTTCAAAAGTTTATAAGTAACTAAATTAATATATACTAGTCTCTTTCCAAAGAAATATATATATATTTAAAAAATAAGTTTTTACATTATAAACAACAATCATTTCTAAAGGCGAACGATAGCAGCTAGGTGTTCTTGTTGCTTGTATTGCTGCAGGTACACCTATGTACAGTTTTGGATGATTAGCTGTAATAACAAAATTTTTCCAACTAGTTAAGGATTCACGAAAACCTATTGATCCTTTCATGCAACATGCACTATCTGTAAATCTGACATATATCTATAATAATACACAACAGACTAATCTAGAATATGTTTAAACCTATGAATATATATATATATATATATATATATATACATATATATATATATATATATATATATATATATATATATATATATATATATATATATACATATATATATATATATATATATATATATATATATATATATATATATATATATATATATATATATATATATATATATATATATATATATATATATATACACACTAGGGTACGTCATACTTTTAAAGAATTTTAAATTAAAAAAAAACAAAACAATTTGGGGAGTGATTTTATTGTGTGGTATGTATTTTTAAGCAACATTGAAATAAAACTTTTTTTTTTCTTTTTTTTTTGGGTAAAAATGAACTCGAAAATTGCAATATTTAAATAAATAACGTTAAAATGAAAACAATGGATAAAATTAAAAAAAAGTTATAATGAAAATTAATTTTTATTACACATGGTCAATATATATATATATATATATATATATATATATATATATATATATATATATATATATATATATATATATATATATATATATATATATATATATATATATATATATACATTATTGATTTGAAAAAGTACTTTTTACAGTACTATAAAACCAAGCAAATTAGGTAAAAATTAGAGTTTTGAATTAAATTTTACTCTACCCACAAAAGTTTTTTTAATGTTTTACATGACATCTTCAGCCATTTTCAACTCTAAACTTAAATTTATCTTTATGCTTATGTCAAATGAGAATGTTTTGCAAAAAATGGCACCAAGAACTCTAAAAATAAAAACACCAAAATAATTTTCTCATGCTTTTGAGTTCATTTGGCCTCATGAGTGAGGGTGTTGAACTCTAAAAAAGTATTACTTAAAGTTTAAAATGTGCAGATAAATTTCCTGAAACTAATATTTGTAAAACATCAAATATATTATAACTACACAAAATGTTAAATAAAAAACCAATATGTTTTTATGGAAAATAAAATTTTCTTTAAAATCAAGCTTGAACATCAACTAAATAATTTGATTAAATCTTTCTTGGATTTCAGATTTTGAACAACATCTCTGTGCTCTATTCTTGCTCTAATAAAACCATTACGTCTCTGAAAACCACAAACAGCAGCTGCTGCTTCAGTCACTTGTTTAACAACTCTTTCACAAGACTGGGTGTGGAGAAGATAGTAAGGTACTTCCATAGGAGAATCTATTACTTTTTGTAAATCTTTTTTTGTCAAATTACATGTAAAATTTGGCTCCAAGATTTGTTCGTTACTCCAGTCAATGAGTTCAAGGAGAGTCATAGCATCAAAGTTAAGAGCAGGTTTTTTTCAGTTTCTTACACTTACATTACCTTGCTCTAAATCTCCCCTAACTTTAATAATCATCTTGACTGCAAAAGCTCTATTTTCAATTGATGAGCTTGCAAGAAGAGAAATAAGAAGTGACTCAGAATGAGCATGAAATGCCCCATTTTGAACAGACTTACTAACAGCATTCATAACTTCGACTGTTTGACTTCTTAATAGATAAAGAAATTTGATTAGATGATGGGACCCATTGACAATAGAGTGCTTTACTTTAATTCTAAACCACATATGAAAGTATACTTGAGCGACAAACTGAGAAAGAACTTTTAGATTTTTTAAAATATCAATTTCTAAGCCATGCTCACTAATGTAAAGCCAAAGAATTGCCTGACCAGTTGTGAGCCACCTGCTATGGCAAAAATTACCACATTTTCTGTTGACGAGTGAAGGATTAAAGATACCTGATTCAAGACAAGAAACTAACTTGTAGCTTAGTGAAGCGTCGGTTGACATATTCTTAAAATGTCATCCGGAATTTTAATCAAAGGTTCAATCTGTCTAATTGGTTCAAACTTTTCTAGTTGTTTTAATTAATTTACTTTGGATAATAGTTTGCCTATAGGCCCTTTAAATCCATCCTTTTGTAGGTCCATCAAGATTTGCAATAAAGTGTCTTAAAGGTAGCTCATTGGTATGTAACATGCAAATTGACCAAAAACATTTTTTTCCAATAAGTTTCTCCAGGTGAGTTAATAATCCGCCATTGTTACCAGATCTAGTCATTGAATTTGTAGAATCTAATCCAATCGCAACTATAGTTTGATCAATTTCTTTAGGAACCATCCAGTTATAAAGACTGATTGAAGTTTGTTTAGCCGGTTTGTTTGGACCCTTTGAAGGTGTGTAATGAGTCAAATAGCTTCCATCTAGTTCAAAAGTAACACTTATGTTTTCTTGCTTTTCTGTTCTTCGACAAAACGTTTTAGTAATTGAATCTTCAATCGTAATTTGAGTAGGATCTTTTCTTTCATCTACAAATATGCCTTTGATAGGAGCTTCAATAATGAGTTTTTCTGACAAAACTCTAGTTTTAGCCATAACCTCTTGTCTGGCTCTCCAAATTTTTTTAGGATCACATGCTAAACTAGCCATTTTTGGAGTCAAGTGGAGTCAAAAATTTGATTTGATCAAATCTTGAAGATCTAGCAGCAGGAGATATGTCAAATCGAAAAGATACTTGTGCTGTACTAAGGATCTTCATGTAATTATGTTTAGTGTTAATAAACCGTGAAGTTTTTTGATTTTTATTATTGGAGCTGTCTTCTGAGGATTCTTCGTTTCCATCTTTAATTTTTTCAGATGAGGTTTCTTGATTTAAGTCATGCCCCACTGATTCATAAACTTTGTCTTCGATGTTTTCAATTTGAACCTGTGTATTAATATAAGGTTTTATAATTAAATTTTGTCTTTTTTCTAAAAATGCAATTTTACATTTCACTGTTTTAACCTGTCTTTCTGTTTCTTCTTTGTCTAGTTGATATATTTGGTTGCCTAATTTTTCACCAACCTTATCTCTTTGAGATCTAAGCCATAATAAATCAAGTTGTGGCAACTTGATAGCTTTAGAACAAATGCATAAAATATGTACTTCTGCAGAACAATTTTTAACCTCTTTACAAGGAGAATTTTCATCTGTACAAAGTAATATGTTACACCTACATTTTGTTATATCGAACAATTTGTCCAGCTTACCTTCCCACAATTTGACAGTTTTTTCTTTTGTTTCTTTTTGATTAGAAATGTCTCTAAACTTATGCCAGGCAGTTAAAATTTTATCTGACAGCGTTTTTTGAGATATGACAACAGGGATCTCAAATAAAGCGTTGGATTGAGACCATCGCTTCAATACCAAGTCTGCCAATACCACCGAGATTTCTTTTACAGGTAGGTGACATTTCCTACAAAAAATATAAAATTTAAACTGTTTTAACATTGTTGTTTGAAATACTTGAACTTGAACTAATACTTGGACGTCCTTTAAATGTCCTAAGACGCCCAGCGGGTGTCTAGATGAATATTCTATGGATGTTAATAGACTCCTATGCCTACTAAAAGTTTATTAGAAATTCACTTTTCAATATCATTTCAAAAAACTCACCTATCAAGATCATCAGAAAGAAGCAAACTTTTCTGAATAAGTAGACCTTTCCTTAGTACATCTCTCAGTGTAGGAACTTCAGTTTCCAACCAATCTTTTTCTACCCCAAGATACTTAGTTAAATTAGTTGTAGAAGAATGTCTAGTCAATTTTAAACTCTCCATAACACAAAATTCTATTTTATTTTATTTTTTTTACTGTAAAACAAAAATAATTACAATAAAAAATTACAAGTAAAAATCAAAAAATATGGCAAATATTTTATATTGAAATATACACTATTAAATTCACTAATGACGTAAAGCAAATAACAAGTACAGAGTAACTGAGTTCTATAATTTAAAAATTTTTTTTAAGCGCTTTTTTACTTTTTTCAAGTTAATTTTTACACATTAAAAAAAAAAAAAAAAAAAAAATTTTTGTTTGTATATTGCTTAGCTTACCGCAACCCATAATAAAATCACTCCCCAAATGTAATTTTAAAAATTTTTCAGTATGACGTACCCTATTATACACCCAGCAAGAAAATTTAATGTGGAATACATGTGTCATAAAATAGCAACAATACTCGGCTTATGGAAAGAAGTAAATGTGGGGCATGTGCGGCTATAATATTTGTGCCACTTAGGTACACATTAATATCCCAATTAGGTATTATAAATGCCATAATCATACATGTCTCACATCTACACCATCATGCCAAGTGGCTATCACATGTGTTGCGTATTAAAATTTATTGTCGGGTATACAAATTTATAAGCATTTGAATATTTAAACAAAAGCAAGTATATGAACATATTTATGTATATATGTATGTTTATATGCATATTTTGCCATTAATGATTTAATGTTGTTAATAATTTAATAAAATAAAGTTTGTATTGCATATTGTATACAATAAACAATAAACAGAAAAAGTAAAATTAATAGTTGAAAAAAAACTTTTCTAAGAAAACAAATAAAAATAAAGTTCGCATTTGTAGGAAAACAAATTAAAGACTTGAAAATTCTAATTTAAAGCTAATTAAAATCTCATTCTCTAAACTATGTGGACTAACGAGTCTTTTATTTATTTCTAATTCTATTTATATTACTCGTTAATGTAAAAAGACACGTTAATATAAATAGAATATAAATACTCAACAAACTCTGATTCTATTTCTGCTTATATTACTTGCTAATATAAAAAGACACATTAATAATATGAATACGCTAATTTAATATTAGTCGAGTTACGTCATTTTCTAGGCTTTTCTATTTTATAGTAGTTTCTAGGCTTTTGTATACGCGTTTTTTTTTTTAATTTTATTTACTAACAACGCTAGTAAAATATAAATACTCAACTCTGATTCTCTAGTCTGTTCTGACAATATACGAAAATCAAAACGTTTTGTTGTTGTGGCGGAGGTGGTTTTTGCGGTTGTCGTTGCTTTTATTGTTGGTAATGTTTTTTGTTTTTTACTGCATTTTAAAACCGTATTCCGTTATAAAACATGAAAATTTAATAAAAATTACATATAATAATTGTTAATAGAAAATAAAAAAACACAGAGAAGGTTTTGTTGGAAAACTTAACAATAAACTCAATAGAAAATATTTTAAGATATTTTTGTTCTCAGGCCAAATAACCACAATTTTTTGCACAATGTCTTAAAGTGTCATATCTAAAAAGTTTCAAAATTCAGGCTACGCTACGGTAAATGTCTTAGGAAATTTAAATATAATTTGCATATATTTGTTCCGCGGTGTAGTCCCAGCTCTGGCCACATCTGTAAGGAACGAGGCGTAAACTTCCAAGTTTATAGCTCTTTCCCAGTGGGCACGGAAGTAAAAAAGGACGTCTTTTAAACGGTTTATACACGTTTTAGACGTTTTCTGAACGTCTTTTGGACGTTTTGGACGTATTTTAAACGTTTAAAAGACGTCTTTTTTACTTCCGTGCCCACTGGGTTCGTGGTGCTCTGTGATAAGTCCGTAAGGACTTCTTGGAAACACACGCAAACGCGGTAAGGACTTCTTGGAAACACACACACATACCGCAATAGCAGTGAGCATTTAACTAGGCAGGTAACGCTTCCTTCGTTACAAATGTTGCAAATTAAAAATATTATTTAATAGTTATTATTAAAAACACTTCAGCAATTCAAACTAGGATTTTATTTGATACTTACAGATTTTAACATATTAGATTTTGTCTGTCTCTTTTAGAAGTTTTTCAACTAAATTAATACTATAAATTTAAAAATCTACATTGTTTAACATAAAAGAATAATATTGAATAATATTTGGAATTTCAATGTTTTTATGAGACTAAAAAACCGTATGATTTTTAGTAGCGTTTCAAATGGGTATTAGTGATAAGGCTAATTTATACCTTATTTTTGTTCCAGCCATATACTTTTTTTGGTATTTTTCTGCATTGTAAATATTTTTAACAGCGAAATAAATTAAACTAAAAAGAAAAATTCCTTAAGATGATTCCTTAAGAAACTGGTGCCAAAATCCGCTAAACCTCCTTCCGTTTTATCGGCCATTATATGTACAACCAATAGTCATGCAACCAATATTGTCTTTGAGAGTTGTCATACAGAATTTTAAGAACAGCAAAAGTAAGTTTTATAAAAACTTTTTTTACTGTTATACTATTTTAAAAAACATCTTAAATCATAAATTTAAAACTATTTGTTTTAAACAAAAAGTAGGGGAGAGTTGCCTTATTTGGAACACTTACATTTATTTTTTAAAATTTAAAATAAAAAATGAATTATGGCTATATTTTTCATTTTTCTAGTAAAACGTCTTATTTTCTACGTTTTGATAGGTTTCAAAAGTTATCCCTCAAAAAATGTATGTGCATCATTGATTTTTTTTTTTTCGTCATTTTTTTCGGTGATCTAACTTTGTGTTAACACTAAATTAATTGCGCTGTGTAAACTATACTGCTATAGGATATACGCTTTATTGCGTTTATTCTAATGGTATTTAAAATGGAACTAACAATATAAAATTATCTTATAAGTTGCCTCATCCATGATATTGCAGTGATATAACAAAATAAAGCAAATTTCCTTGATTGGAACTATAAAGCTTTCCTAACTTAACCAGTAATAAAATCAAAGGGTTGTAGAAATAGTTCAGGCACAATTTAAAAATACTTAGTAACAACCATAGTAAATTAGAAAAAGGTTAAACCTTTTATACATTTTTTGTTTGTAGAAGTTCATTTTGCAAGGGTAATATTAATCCTATTATAAGTTTTAAATGAACTGTTTAAATTTTAACTGTAATGATAAAAATTATTTTTAATCAATTTTAGTTGATTTTAATGGGTTTCTTTAGAAGATACAACCAGTTCTGATTAAGGAATCAAAGTGTTCCAATTTAGGGAACCAGTTGCCTTGATTGAAACAAAATGCTATCTTTGCAAAAACAAATTAATTTCCAATAAAAGTGCAATCAATGAGAGTTGTCTGTTTGATTTGATCAAATCATAAATGTTTTCATAGTTAAACCATCTTTGGTTAATAAATATTTATTCCTTAGGTGTTCCAATTAAGACAACACTCGCCTATATAAAATTTAAATTGATCAAGTTAGAAGCTAAGTATATCACAATTAAATTTCACAACTGAAACACCCCTTATTTAAACATTCGTTTTTTGGCGATATCCAGGACCAATGCCGTTTTCGGGTGCTAAATTTTCAAAACTTAATTCAAAATAAAAAGAAGATAAAAATAGCACTTTTTAAAAGTGAAATTCCCTCCGAAGTTGAACAAACTTTAAAACATGCGAAAGAGCAAAGAAGAATTTTTAAACAAATTCTGGAGGAAAAGATTCTTAAGTGAAAATCACGAGAAATAACTTTCTTATTTTTCTTTTTTACCTTGTAAATTACATTGTGTGTTAAATAAATGAAATAATAATAAGTATATTAATTAATACAGTTTATTAAATAAATAATAAACTTTAACAAGCTTTTACAAATTTATTTTACTAAAAAATTTAATTTATATAAATTTTAAAAAGTTTTTTACGATTAAATAAACTAAAAAATTATTAAATAAATAAAAAAAATTAAATTTAATACATTTTTATTATTAATTCATTTTTGAAATAAATTTATTTTCAATAATAATTTATTTTTATCATTAATTTATTTTTATCATTAATTTATTTTTGTTATCCATTAAAAATACTTTTTATCCTAATTTGAATATAGTTTTATTATCTAAATTTTGATTATTGCTAATTACTAAATTTTACTAATATCTTATTTATTTTTGAAATATAACAGAATTTTTTTGACAACTAGAGCAAATAATTATAAATTTTATTCAACAAAAATAGAAATATTTATTTTATATACATGATATTTTATGTTTAGAATTTTTTGGTAGCTACTTCTGTTCTTTGGTTAAAAACTGTTTGGTTAATTGGTTAAAAACTGTTTGGTTACTAGGTAACTGATCATAACAGATCATCTAATTATTTTCACGAAGATAATCTTTTTTATTAAAAAAAATTTATAAAAAATACCTTTTTTGTTTTCTAAAAAGTAATTTTTTAATTTTTTTTTAAACTTTATAAATTATTTAATAGTTTTTATTTGTTCGAGTTTCTTACTATTCAATATCTAAAATACTAATAACTATGAAACTTAAGTAATTAAATTAACTAAGTGAATAAATATAATGATGAGTATATAACTAAATGATGTTGAATATAACAAAGTATATAACTAAGTGATGATGAGTATATAACTAAATGATAACTAAGTGAATAAATATAATGATGAATAAATATAATGATAATAAAGAACCAAATGAGTGGATTTACTGTAAATACTCTAAAAAAATATGTTATAAAATTATAAAAAGATGCAATTTTTTTCTTACTTCGTCGATGAATTTAGTTGAAATATCAAGGATTTTTTCTCCATCTGGACCAAAAAATGAATCAGGAAACAAACATGAAGGTGAAATTGTTAATAAATAACGTCGAGATAAATCCATATTTCTCAACTGATCGAGCGTTTGAATAAAGACGTTGGTATGTAGCGGATCGTTGTTTTGCATAAAAAAATTAATACCATTCAGAATGACGCTAAAATAAAAGTAAACTTTACTTTTAAAAGGGTGTCCATGAAAAAATGACACGTTTTAGTTTTAGTGCAATTGGTCTACAATTTGTAGAAAAAGATTCAATATTTGTTCTCAAAGATTTATTTTATAAAAGTTATCTGATTTGATTTATTATTGAAACTAAAGAATAATGATAAAGACAATAAAATCAATAGATATAAGAAAAAAAGTCTTTCATTTTTGTCTTTAAAGATTTTCCAGGTGAAGTTATATAAAAGGCCGGCGCAACGTTTGTGTGTGTGTGGGGGGGGGGGGGGGATATAACGCTCCTCCTCTCATTGATTATTTTTTCGTTCTTTTTATTGGCAAATTTAGACAAATCAGTCGGCAAATGTAGACCCTTTAGACAAGTTGGCCAAAAATATAGACAGACAGTTGGCAAATGTCGACAAGAAAGTCGGCAAATTATGAAAAACGAGGACCTTTTTTTTAGTCGGCAAAAGTTATAGTAGCATCCCCAACGTGATACTACTCGCGTATCACGTTGGGGATCGTTCGAAACTATTCAAAATGTTTAAATTTCGAATAGTTTCGAACAATTTTGAATAGTTTCGAATAATTTTGAATAAGTTCGAATTGCGTTAATTAATAAAAATTAGTTTACTCATGTAAATATCATTTACTCATGCTTAATACATTATATACATTGTACAATAAATGATCACTTTAATACAATTTATGGCAATCAAGTAATTGTTTACAATCGAATGTATTAACAAGACAGCTGATATAATAGCTGATAAAATTTATTTATTTTATCAAAAACTGTTTAACGACAGTTTTCTAGCTTTATTGGTCAAAAAAATAGCCTTGAAACTCTCTAAACCTGAACCAGTTTGGTTTAGATTAGATTGGAAAATTGTTTGAAAGTTGAGTGTATTGGACAAACATTTTGGTTTTAAATGCCAAAAAATAATCAAAATAGTTTACTTTTACAAATTTAAAATTTTTAAAAATATGCCGACTGGCTGGTCTACATCTGCCGACTGTCTGTCTGCATTTGCCGACTAAATGAACAAAAAATTCATTGATGGGAGGTTGTCTCACCCTCCCAGTCCCACCGTTGCGCCGATATATATATATATATATATATATATATATATATATATATATATATATATATATATATATATATATATATATATATATATATATATATATATATATATATATATCAATAATTTAATTACCTTCCAAACGGACGTAAATCATTTGTTTCGTCACCTCCAAGAAAAAGGTTCCAGATTAAATTGGCAAATCTTTCCGCACCTTGAGCACTTTCAAATTTAGCAGGAGATCCAGGACCACCTATTCCAATAAGAATTTTCTTACCGCGTTGTTGGCAATAACGAATATCACGTCCAATTAAAGGACAATATAGAAACGATATATGCCCGCGATCTTGAGGTCTAGCACAATGTACTGAAAAACCCATTCCAGGCAAAAAATCTATTAGAAGAAAAATTATAATAATTTTTATATAAAATAGATTATACTATAGTATGTTATCTATCTTTATCAAATTTTAAAAATAGATCACACATTTTATTATATATATATATATATATATATATATATATATATATATATATATATATATATATATATATATATATATATATATATATATATATATATATATATATATATATTCCATACAGAAGCAGATCTGACCAGCTTTGTGTAAAGTCTCTTCCAAACTTGTGCGTTTTCAAAGATAAAAGCTTTCTTTAGTTGACCGAGGACAGAGTTAGGTTTTGATGACATTTTGACATACGTGTCCTATATGAGGTTGTGTGAAATGCAATTGCAAAAATCTCTTCCGTTGTAAGAGGAATTAAGAAGCTGCATCCTTTGTGGAGTCAAGGTATAGTATTGGTTGTTGGGATTTTTGCGTATGTTGTAAGATAAGGAACTTTATGTAGTTAAGTTGTAAGTAGAGGTGTACCGGATATTTTTGCCGGATATTGTACTTTTCTAAAGTTATATGCGAACAACTTTGCTATTATCAGTATATAACTTCAGTGGATTGCTAACTAGGCCTGTAATGCCATTAATATATAAAACGAATAGAAAAGGTCTTAGAACAGATCCTTGTAGGACACCACTAGTGACTGGAAACAAATCAAAAGTAGAAGAACCCATGATAACTCGTTGTGTTTTATTAGAAAGAAAAGACTTTATCCAATTAAGTAGCATATTAGGGACACAATATCCAGAAAGTTTGTGGAGCATAAGATCATGATGAGGTGCGTCAAAAGCTTTTTCAAAGGACCTAAACTATAGCCTCTTGTCATTAAATATTAGATCTGGTCTACAGTTTCCAATAAACCAGTAACGCATAATTTATATGGAGATAAAGATGCATAATTTTGAGATAAAGACTATTAGCAGATAGATACTCACTTTAACAATCTTTTACAATACACTCTAGGAATTTGCAGCAGAAAGATGTTAAATAAATGGGTTTATAGTTTGATGCACCAAATTAAAATCCTTTTTTTGTGAAGTGATGTGATGTAAGCTACCAACCACACAACTAGGATAGACCTTTTGAAATAGATTTTATAAGTATGTAAGTAATATGTACATTCAGAGATGAAGAACGTTTGTCAAACACGTGTGGGTAAATACCGTCTACGCCGGTTTATGCAAGTTGAGTATATATATATATATATATATATATATATATATATATATATATATATATATATATATATATATATATATATATATATATATATATATATATATATTTTTAAGAGCATATATATAAATATATATATATATATTTTTTATGTATATATATATATATATATATATATATATATATATGCTCTTATGATTTATATATTCTTAATGCTCTTTTGATTTATATATTCTCTCAAAAAAATTATCTTAAATCAAATTGTTACTCGGAATCTTTATCCAATTAATTTAGTTACCAGCCCACAAACAAGTGTAATTTTTTTCATTTCTTTTTAACTTCTTTTGCCTCTACCGTCAATACAAACAAAGTAATCACAAAAACGCATTTTTTTAATTTTAAAAAAAACAACAAACCTTCATTTCGATGATCAACGTATCTGCTAACATACCCCACAACAATTGTTGAATAGGGTGATTCAAAAGAACACAAGCTTGCTAAGTTCATCTCTACTGTATCCAATACAGCATTTGCTCTATTTTGACCCCAAAAGGTGACAAGTTTTGGTATATAGTGTGAAAGAGCTATAAAAACAAGACACAAAATTTTATTTCTAATTTCTCTTTTTATCACTTATTTTTCTAATATATGCAAATATATATAAAAATTAAATAAGTGAAAACACTTGTCTTGCGCCCAGTGGCGGATTAAGACTTCTTGGGACCCGGGGCTATTTTCGTTTATAAAATAAAATAAAATAAGCTTCTCAAAAATTTTTGGGGGCCTCTAAATTTGCGGGGCCCGGGGCTATAGCCCCTCCTAGAAATACCCTCCCCCCATCCTTGATCCGGCACTGACTGCGCCACGGCTGTTTAATTTACAATTTATTAACACCCTTTTTTTAATTTACATTTACAATTTTTACAAATATTTAAAAATTACATTTACAGTCTGCAACTGTTTAAATGAAATTCTCGACATTTATCAAAATATAAATGTGCTTTAGAAAAATTTAGTTAAAGATGTTGCCGCACCTATTGGCACTTTTTTGAAATAACTGTTTTTCTTGTGATGCAAGGTCTTTGTAAAATGTCTTTTCTACATCTGTAATCAGTGGTGGATCCATATTTTTTGATGTTTTAGATATGACAATTTCAGACATTGTCAAAACTCTAAATTTAATTATGTTTATGAATATTTTTCAAAAATATCAGGTGATAAAAAATAGGGAACAAAATACTCCTACAGCCTTTTAACAAAAAACTCCAACAAATTTACCGCTGCTAGCCCAAATGGAAGGGCAATGCGTAATTAATAACTCCAATTATTCATAGGTTTTAAATTCCATTTAATTATCTCAATTCGTTCGAGCGTTATGACTATGTCGAATGTAAATCCCCCTCATTTTGATCGGGGTGAAAACTTAAAATGTTTAAAAACATTCGTACACGAAAAGATGAATAAATAAAATTTGGTGAATTTTAATTTAAAATTAGATAGTAAATTAAAGTGTTTTATTATAATAAAACACTTTAATTTACTATCAAATTTTAAATTAAAATTCACCAAATTTCATTTATTCATCTTTTGCAAGAGCAATGAACTATAGTTCATGCTCTTGCATTTGGAATAGGGAGTGATTCTTTTGGAGCTATTTTTGTTCTTAGGATTGTTGTTGATTAGAATAAAAAAATGATATAAAAAGAAAGATTTTTCATTTAAAAAAATACAAATAATTTCGAAAATATTTACAAAAAAAAAGTTATTGTGATTTTTTATTAAAAGGTACTTATTTGAGCTTTTAAAGAAGTTTAAATGAGGAGGGAAGGTAAGTGGGAAGCCGCGGCGCCAAAAACTTTTAGATATATATCTCCTTATAAATAATTTTGAAGACCTGTTTTTATTTTATTTTAGCTATAAGTATTTTTAGTTTTACATTAAATTTTGAAAAAATATCTCTAATTTTGTTATTTTTGAAAAAATACCTCTAAGTTTAAATCAAACCCCCGTGGAAAAAATCTTAAAAGTGCTTATGCTACAAATTTAAGTTTTTATGAAACTAAGGATTAAAGCTGTGAAAAACTTACATAACTATACAAAAATAGAGAGCCTATATACTCAGCCTATATACGGACATACGTGTGATCCTTTTTGATTGGTTGTTCGATTTTTACGCCATCTTTTTGCCAAAAATACTAACTGCGATTAAAGTCTACTACTAAATTTGTATTAAATATTTGTAAAAGTATGCCTGGTTGTGCTGCATTAGGCTGCCATAACAGGCCTGAGAAAAGATTTATTGTGGTTATAGTTATAGTGGTTATGAAAATTTACTTCGTTTAAACTTAACATACCCATCATTACGTACCCTACGACAAAGATTAGAAAATCTAAAATTTCAAAGTGGCATTCTAACAGAAGTCTTTGAGTTTATGAAAACTAAGGTGAATGCCATGAAAATCTATGAAAAAGAATGTGTTTTAATTCTTGATGAAATGTCAATAACTGAAAGTGTTGACTATGACACATCTACAAGCTCTTACTATGGAGTTGTTACATTACCTGAACATTATGGCCAAGCTAACCATGCTTTATTTTTTATGCTTGGAGGAATATCTACAAGATGGAAACAAACTGTTGCATATTATTATACTGGAAGTTCTGTTTTAAAAAACATTGTCCTATCTATAATAAAGTATACTGAAGAAATAGGATTTAAAGTTAATAGTGTTACTTCTGATATGGGTGCCATTAACCAGGCAATGTGGAAATGTTTTATTATTAGCTGTACTAAAAGTGGCAGTATTTCTAGTTCAATTTAACACCCATGTGACCCTACTCGTACAATTGATTTTTTGGTAAATCTGCAGTTAAGCGGCGTAAAATAGTTATATTATTTTGCTTTTTGCGCTCTCGTTCGCGGAGACTAAAAAACAAAAGAAATTCAAAACGAGTTTTAATTGCTTTGAAAGGTTTAAAATAAGAAAGCTTTAAAAAATTATATTTTTATTTTCAAATATATTTCTATATAATAATAATAATTATAATATATATATATATATATATATATATATATATATATATATATATATATATATATATATATATATATATATATATATATATATATATATATATATATATATATATATATATATATATATATATATATTATAATTACTTAATATTATAATATATATGTATATATATTATAATTTTAAATAATAATTTTAAAATTTAATAATTGATTTAAAATTTATTTTTTAATAATTATAATATCTTACGTAACGCAACTTTACATAATACGCTCACCACCGGTGATTTTTTTAAGTAAAAAGTATATAATTATTTTACGCCGCTTAACTGCAGATTTACCGATTTTTTAGCAGACGTACCACATTAATTAAAGAATATAAGAAAATCTCTTTTATGTAACAAACATTTTATAATAACAGCTAAGATTCAAGAAAAATATAAAGTTCAATCGCCAATTATAGATTCAAAACACCTTAACAAGCTTGTAGACTTTCAAGAAGGTATGGATTTAAAGTTTGCTTACAAGCTTACATCTGAACATCTTGATGAAAAACATTTCAACAAAATGAAAGTATCAAGAGCAACATCTGTAATGAATCATGATGTAAGTTGTGGATTAAAATTTATTGCAAGTGAAATAAAAGATGATTCTATTCTCACAACTGCTCGGTTTATTGGAATTGTTGATAAATGGTTTACATTAATGACTTCACGAAACCCAGGTATGGCTCTTAGCATGAAAAATGACTAAGTTTACAATGAAACAATAACTTTTTTAAATGAAGTCATAGAGATATTCAATGGTTTAAAAAAATTAGGCTAAACTGAAAAAATAAGGTGGAAACCTATTCAATCTAGTGTTATATTATCAACAACATCAGTTATTAACTTGCAAAATAAGTTTCTTCTAGAAAAAAAGTTTAATTTTCTAATGACATCACGATTTACGCAGGATTGCTGGAGAATCTTTTTTCCCTGGTACGCGCAAAACAAGTAATTCCTACTGCTCTTCAATTTAAAAATAACTTGAAACTTATTTGCGTTGCCCAATTCTTGAAAAAATCATCAAAAGGCAGTTATGATATAGATGACCGTCAATTCTTATCTGGTTTTCTTGATATAGTTAATAGTAATGTGCATAAACCACAGCAAAGAGTGCATTTTTTTTACCTAAAGATTGGGATAAAACCTCTAACTTAATCTTAAGTAATGCTGAGCAAAATTGTTTATTTCATATTGCAGGTTATATAACTTCTAGAGTTAAAAAAATTGAAGAAGTTTGCACAATTTGTTTTGAATCTCTAGTTTCTAAAAATAGAGTTAATGCTGATTACACAAAGTTTGTTACAAAGAGCACAAAGTGGGTAGTTTATTTTTTTCTAATGAAGCAACATTTGCATTCTTTTTACAAATGGAGTTAATATTCAGATCATTTGAGCCATACCTTAATTCCCAAAAGAATTGTAATACTATGGTTTTGGAGAAAGTTAATTCTGATGAGCAAATTAAAAGTCTAACTTGTCATTAAGTTGTCATCAAATTAAATTGAAGCTAAAAAACAGGTTTATAACATTCAGACTTAAAATATTTAACCTTAAAAAAAAGCGTTTATTATGTAAAAAGAAAAATTAAAAAAAGTTCTTGTGAACTTGGCAGCAAGAGTATGACAAAGCATGCATTTGCACTAAAGGTTTAGGTTCGACTAATTTATAAAATAAACTGTAAAGCTTTTTTCAAATTACTTATTGATTACAACTACTTTTTTGCTGTGTTTTTTTTTAAAGGTATTTCCTAAATAAATAAATAATTTTGTCGAAAAATAATTTTGAAAAAATAAAACATAAAAAGGTTTAATTTTTAAAAATATATTCTGTTTAAAATATTATTGTGCTCATTTTCTTTCAATTGTTTTTACTTGAATTCGTGAATGTCATACGCTAGTTTGGCAAAAACATGGCCGCCGTTCTTCCGTATTTTCCGTATGTCCGCTCTCTGAGTATATAGGCTCTCTATAAAAAAATATATACTAAAATACTTTGCTATATGAATTTTTTGAAAAAAAAAATAACTTCGTGTAGGTATTAGGAAAAAAACTTTGGCCACCCTTTTATATGTAATCGTCCCACTGTGCGCATCAGGTCCGTTTTGAAAGCATATTTTTTGTGTTTTCTATGGGTTTCGGATAAATTAGAAAGGTTTTAGGATATTTAATGGATCCTCAGGTTTCAGCTTATTTAGGTTTTAAAATTTTAAAATAATCAATGATTTCAAATAAGATATTTTGAATTATTGCAAACGTAAGCTTAGTAGGGAGAGTGGGGGCATAATGATGCATGGGGCGCCATGAAACAATGCAATGTTGAAAAATCATAAGAGTTGTGACAACCACTTTCATATAGTAAAACAGCTACTACTTGAGCTATGTTTAGAAAAAAAAGGTTTTTGACATTAATTGACAATCATTTGAGATCATTAGGCCTGCAAGAGGTTAAAATTTGTATTTTTTGAGGAGAAAGTAATTTATTCGTTTTTAAAGCTCAAAAATATTAAGGTACCTTATTCAATGTGTCTATTGTTTAGTAACATTATTTTGTAAACTACAATCTATAAACTTTTTACTTCATTAAACAAAATCATTAAAAAAACAATTTGATACTAAAAATAAAGCGATTGTTTTCTATTAGCAAGTATGGGGTACCTTGATGCAACATTTTTGGGGGGCCCTCAAACTGTAGAATAGTAATCCGTTGTGTCATAAACATTCTAAAAATCATTTTTTTAAATATTTATAGTCAATTTTAAAAAAATTTAGTATAACAAAGTATTACAAAAGTATTACAAAGAGATCCCATTTCGATTTAATCAGTTTCACAAGTTTAACCTGTTATATTTTGGTAATTTATAAATATTATTTTGTAGCTATAAATTTATTCTAGAAACTAAACCAATCGCTTAAAAAAAAACATATTAAAAAAATTATGAAGCAAAAACCAAAAGTGTGTCATGGTGCTCCACTTTCCCCTATATAAAAAATAAAAGTGTGTCATGGTGCCCCACTCACCCCTAAATAAAGTAGTTATTAGATTGTTTTCAATGTTGATAGGCTTTAGTTTTAATTGTTTATGCAATTATTTACTTATTTAAGATAAAAAAAGATTTTAATAATATTTTTTTTAATATTTAACTTCTGTTCTCATTTTTATTATGAGGCTTTTAATGAAATTAACTTGGTTGCAATTATCTTATGCCTGATTTTTTAAACCATTTGTATTGCTTATATTTATTCGTTTTTTACAAATCAGATTTGAAGTTCAGTACAAAATTTTAAAATATGTTCATTTAACACGTCATTTTATTTAGTAAAATTATCAAATTAAAATTATCATTCTAAAAATTTTTAAAGATTTATTAAATAGAAAAAAAGATTAAAATAATTCACGTTGGAAACTTTATCTCATTTAAAAATATATATATACATTCCAATATTCAACAATTAAGTAAAGTTGCAACAGTCAAAGTTCATTACGGTTAGTTAAGCTGCAAATTTGATTTTAGCTATTAGGCTGTCTATTGTTATTATGGCGCTAAAGTAAGCTTGCAAATCAATAAAAATAAAGACAATTAGGGAATGTAAATTTTGGAACAAGAACTATATTTGTGTAATTCTTACCTTCTAGATTGAAAGTGAAAGCTTGCACCTCAGCATCGTATATAATATATATATATATATATATATATATATATATATATATATATATATATATATATATATATATATATATATATATATATATATATATATACATATATATATATATACATATATATATATATATATATATATATATATATATATATATATACATTTGATTCTTGTTTCATTTAAATCTAATATGCTGTTTATATTTGTTTCCTATAACTTTATCTATTGAAAGTTTTAACCTGCATACTATTTATAATTAAACTTATTTCTTTGTTTTCTATTTTTCCACATTTAGGTTAAAGTATTTAGGTTATTAAAATTTTTAAAATATACATATTTTAAAAATAGTTAGATTAAATAATAGTTAGATAAAACAATAGATTGAAGTTTTTACTGAATTAGGAATCCTATACTTTTAAATTATTTAAGATTAAAGTAAATTTAATCTTAAATAATTTAAAAAATTAGATTAAATGGTTTTTAATAAAAATCATTTTTAATGAGTTTCTTGCCCAAAACTGGAATAAAAAGCATTTTGTACCACAATATTCCTTAACTTCAAGAAACCTTTACATAATTGGTTACTGCAAATAAAATTACAATGTGTTTGTTAAGAAATTTGCATTTTTGATTCAATTAACACAATCTGTGTCACATGTCTTAAAAATAAAAATAAAAAATAAATTCCGGCATTCCGGCCAGAAATATTTTTATTTCGGCCGGAACCGGAATGACCTAAAAGTCACAAATTCCGACCGGAAATCCTATAAATAATAAGGTTAGCAAAACCAAAATAAAAATAATGATAGTAATAATAAAGGTAATAATAATAAAGATAATAAAGGAAATAATATTTAAGATAATAAATCTAATTTTGTAACTCTTCTTAACAAAAGTAAAGAAGAATTACAAAATGCTTAATTTAAAATTTTTATTCTCAAATATAAATCTTATTATTCTCAAAAAATTTGTTCTATTTTAAATTTTTCGACCAAAACCTCGAGAAATGTTTTTTTTTTAATATTTTCTTTAAAAAAAATTTTTTCTTCAAAAATCTTTTTGTTTAAAATATTACAAACTTTTAAATAAAGGCACATTGGTGGTTTCAGTGTTGAAAAGGAAGTTTGTTGTCCCTATTACTTAAAAAAAAAATATTTTAAAATGAAAAACAATGTAACTTTACTGTAAATCTTAGATGTGAAGCTAGAAGCTTGAAGCTTGGATAGAGTTAGGAAGTATAGGGCTAAAAGGGATTAGAAAATAAGTTGGATCTTTTATACTTATTAAGATTCTTTTCAATTTTTTGTTTTTAAAAAAAATAATTAGTTTTAGAAAACCTTTTCAAACTTTTTTTTTTTAATTATTACTCCAAGAAAACCTTAACCGTCTAATCACAGAGCACCGTGCACATTGTTCTGTGATAATCACAGAGCACCGTGCACATTGTTCTGTGATAAGACTGTTAAGGTCTTCTTAGAGTAACTTAATAGCTAAAAAAAAAGTTTTCACTACCACATGTTTAAAGCATTTAACGAAAGTCACGCCATCTTTCTTAAAATGCCACTTATTTGGCCAAAGCCTGCGACGAGGCCCAGAATCTTAACCACTGCGCCACCACTACTTTAATTGCTCCCTTTTATAAAAGAAATAATTTAAGTAATATAAAAAGCGGTGTTGCCTAACTGTGTAATGGAACTTAAACAATATCGTGCGCCCAAGCTGCTTTTTTGACAAAGTACTTTTGAGTATTCCAAATAAATAAAAAAAATGCATATGTAGCTTATTTAAATTTCAACTGTGTTATAAGTACATAGGTACTGCGCGGTCACACAGCCGTGCAGCTAAGATGTAGCAATTAGTAAAAAATCATTAAATAGTTATATTACCTTGTTTATGCCAAATCAAAAGCAAAAATAAAGAAAAAATGTTCTTTCTTTTTTTTTCCATTTCAAAAACCAAAAACAAAATGTATCAAAATAAAAAAAGTTCAAGAAACTATCATATTTTACATAGCTGCTTCAAACTGCTTGTGCAATAAACAGTTATTTCGTTATTTCTTTCGCTGCATGAATGGCCACAGTTGGGGGTTTGCAGCATTTTAATGAACGCAATTTAAAACGCTTTTTAGAAACACAAGAGAAAACGCTTTTCCCAATAAATATTATAACTGCAATATTTTAAAATGTCTTATTTTTTATTCCTTAATTTTCAAAACTTTTTATGTAAAAAATTCCTATTAAAGAACAAAAACCTTATCGCCGTTAACACCAACAATCCGCCTTTAGCAAAACTTACACCAAAAATCAAAAAACCTTCAGCCAAACTTCTATCTTAAATCCCAGAGTTCGGCCTTCACCATTGTCATATAACTTTGATACAAATGATTTTTAAATATTTTTTTATTCTACTTATGAAAAATGAAAAGTCTAATGCAAAGTAAAAAAGTAAAGCGTTTTAAATTCTATTTTTGTGTTTTTTAGAATTTCAAATTAAAATCTATTTGATTATAACAAAACTAATTGATTATAACAAGTCGAATTTGGAGAAAGTATATTTGAATTGTTCTAAGTGGTGTTACTGGGCCCTGACAATGATTCAATACACAAATTATTATCAGGACCGGTCTAAAGCATAAACAAACTAGGTAGCTGCCTAAAGATAAATCCTAAAAATTTTCTAAAGTTTGTTTACGAAAAGAAATTTATTTTTTATCGCATTTCCCTAAAGGGATTCATATCTATATATATACTCTTCATATTTAATCGAATTCTATAAACATTGACAGAAGGCTAAACCAAACGAAAGTTTCATCACAAGAAAAAATATTTTTGATTGCAGGGGTTTACAGTTTTAAATATTCTTCATCGCTATCCCCAAAAGGTTTTATAGTTAAATAAATTTTTTGAACAACGATGTATTAATTTCTGCAATTATCAAACGAATTCGTTATTAACTTTGTACATTAATATTAAATGTGAAGAAAAAGTTACTTCCTCCGTTTCGAAATACTGTTCCGATTTGCATTCAACGTAAAGAAATATTAAAATTTAATTATGTTGTTGATTTTTTTCATTTTTTACTATAAAATATTTTTAATATATTTTATCATTTTATTTTACATACATTTTATATATACTTTATTATATAAAATAATAAATACATAAAAAAAAATAAAAAAAATAATAACAACATAGTTTAATATCATTAATTCTTTAAGTTAAATGCAAGTCGGAACAGTATTTCGAAACAAAGGGAGTATATATTTTATTATCTTTATATTTTTGAACTTCGAACAACGCATACCTGTGTGCAACTGTTGCTGCGTTTTCATTAGTCTCAAGTATCTCGAATGTTGTGTGGCTGAAGTTGAAATCGCCGTAAATTAGGACAGATAACTTATCAACCTAGTTTACGACGATTTCAACACTAGACTGCTTATCTGATAAGCAGTCTAGTATTGAAAAGCTCTGCTTTGTTAAATCAATCAATTTGATAATTTGTTCTAGAATTCCAACGTCATTATTATGCGGTCGGTATATGCAGCTTATTAAGAAAGGTTCGTCGTCTATCGTTATCACTGGCCAAATTTGTTCATTATCTATAAAATTTAGTTGATTCACCGTTTCATTTGCTACCTTCTCTGCTTCCTCGGTTTTTGTTATGGAGTTAGTAAACGAGATAGCCTATAAAGTTTAAGATCAAAAAAAATAAAAGACTATTTAAATTAAAATAAAATTGCTATTTTTTACAAAGTTCTTCATTTTTTACTCATTGAAAAGAACTTGAAGAGTATGAAAATGCTTTTAGTTGCAAAATATTTTTCAACTTTCTAAAAAGCTATCAAACATTATAGATGTTGATACCCATTAACCTCTGTACACTTCATTGATTTCATAAAACTTGTTGTTAAATTAATTGTGTTGCCTGTTTAACCCAATTATGCTTTGCAAATATGTCAGAATTTTTTATGACGGAATGTGGCCAATTTTATTATTATTTTTATTCCTCTTAAATTAAATTTATCATTTGGTCTTTAATAATTTTTTAAAAGTAAAATAATCATAATTTATCATTAAAACCATGATAATTTATGCCAAAATTTTGTTTAAAATGTCAAGCTTTTATAAATGGATTTATAAGGGTTTTACAACCGGATTTATATCCCGGAAAATTAAAAAACAGGAAAAATAGAATTTTAAAATTGCTTTCCAAGTACTCCACTTGGCATCACCTCAGAAAAAAAAAACTTTAAACGAAAGGTTTTCTAGTTACCTGGTAAGAAACTGAGCCTAGTTTACAAATGTAGACATTTTAAGGAGAATAAGGACATGTTATCACAGCATGGTATTATTGACTTGCGAGGCATCCAACAATAGAAAAACTAAAAGTCATGTTTTATGATTTGTCTTTCTTTGTTTACTTTTCTAAAGCACAGTGAAAAGAAAGAGAAAGAGCTACAAGGCTGTCCAGATTGTGGTGTTGCAGACATATGACAAAATGTTACAAAGAATACCAAACCTTAAGAGCAAAATTGAAAAACCAGTTTCATGCACTAAAGAAACATACAAATAGACACACTATAACCTGCTGAAAAGGCAAGTCTTTGTTACGAATGTAGCAACTTTAAGTAGATTAAGGACAAGTTATAACTGTCTTGTACTATGGAATTAAATAAAGGATGCGGTTGAGCATCTAAAGTCTAAAAACAAGGCATTCAACAATAAAAAAGTTTTAAATTATGTTTCTTGCTTTTAAAGAACAGTAAAAAAGTAGAGGGAAAAAGTGTAATGGGTAAAAAAAGGGGGGGAGGGGAAGGAAGTGTCAATTCACATCCTTACCTGTTTAGATAAAGGTAAATAAATATGTTTTATAAATTCTGAAATGCCAGTCATAAAGCGGTCTTACATTGATTTATTAAGTTGCGGTTCAGTGTCAGTTTTATGTGAGGAGGAGGGGCGCCAGACTAAAAAAGAATTTAAATTAACTTTTACATTTTGTATTATATTTTATACTTTACTTCAAAAAGTTAATTCCTAAATTTTCAAAAAACAAAAAAAATTTTGCCCTCCTTCCCTTTTTTTCAAACATGATCCAGTCATTATAAACAATAGTTTGAAAAACATTAACAAAAGTTTTATCGTATAAAACGATATGTTGAAACAAGGAAAACTTAGCTGTTCAGAATTATCTGATATAGTACGAGAACAGCAAGAAACCATAAAAAATTTAATAAAAAGAATAGAATTCCTTGAATCTAAACAACCAACAGTAAACGAATCTGCTAATTTTTGGTCGAAATTTTCAACGAAAACTACATCCACAGAAAAATCACTTGTTGTAAACACCATCGCAAATTCAATAATATCAGAACAGGAAAATAAAAAAAAGCGAGAAAACAATATTATAATCTTTGGAATTCCCGAATCGATTAAAATAGATGAATCAGATACAATAAATGATGATAAATTAATGGTCAATGAAATATTTGATTACATTGGCAAAAGCAATGAAAAACCGATTAAATTAATTAGGCTAAAAAAAAAAAAAGTTTCAAAAAATTCATCTCCAATTATTGCCGTACTTCCTGAAAACTGTGAACGCAATAAAGTTCAATTCGCGTCTAGGGAATTACGAAATAACGACAACTATAACAATGTTTATTTAAACCCGGATATGACACCAGCAGAAAGGCTAATAGATTTTGAATTAAGAAAAGAAAAAAAGAAAAAAACTAGTACATTACCACAAATCTGGAAAGATGCAGATATCATACCAATTTCCAAAAAAGGAGACAAGAAACTAGTTACCAACTATAGACCCATTAGTTTAACATGCACTATAGTCAAAATATTTGAAAAAATAATACAAAAACATATTTTTATTCATCTTTTAAAAAACAATCTACTAACTCCTAGTCAACACGGTTTTTATCCAGGGCGCTCTTGTGAAACAAATCTTCTTACTGTAATCAATACATCGACACTTAATTTAGATAAAGGTCTTCCCGTCGATAATATTTACCTTGACTTTGAAAAAGCATTTGACAAAGTCCCACCCGACTATCTTCTTTTGAAACTAAAAGCCTATGGGATTAATGGTTCAATTCTCTCTTGGATAAGAAACTTTCTAACAAATCGAAGACAAAGAGTAATGATAAATGGTAATTACTCTGATTGGGTATCAGTAAAAAGTGGAGTTCCCCAAGGTTCTGTTCTCTCAGCTCTATTATTCATTATATACGTTAACGATATTCCCAATATAATTACTTCAAATGCAGCACTTTTTGCTGACGATACAAAAATATTTTACCCTATTACTAATTTGCATTCACACACCGTACTTCAAAATGATATTGATATCTTGGTTGACTGGGTAACTAAATGAGGGATGAAATTTAATATAGAAAAATGTTCAGTTTTACACCTAGGTCATAAAAATAAACATCTTGTCTATTCTAGTACGATCCAGTGAAGAAAACAAGGATTGATATCAAATCTACCAACTCAGAAACTGACCTCGGAGTACATATCGATAATAACTTGCTATTTTCTAAACATACCTCTACTCAAGTTAATAGGGCAATGCAGATGCTATTTCTAATAAAAAGATCTTTCTCTTATCTAAATTTTTTTTTTTTTAAAAGACTGTTTTCACTTATACGACCATATTTAGTACGCACTATACGACCATATTTAGTACGCACGATTTATTAGCACTAGTACGACCATATTTAGAATATTGTGGTTCTGTATATAACCCTCGTCTACTGAAAGACAAACGACAAGTTGAAAATATACTCAGAAGAGCATCTAAATCACTTCATGGATTAAAAAGTCTGACATATCACCAAAGACTATTAAAAATTAATATGACAACCATAAGATACAGACTAATCCGGGGAGGTTTAAAAAACGTCTATAAATGGCTAAACAACTACTACAACTGTCAAACGATCTTTTCAAAAACAATTATAAATTCTATTACAAGAGGACATTCATTTAAACTAGAAAAACCTTATTCTCGTCTAGCTTCTCGTCAATA